CCACTGCACTCCAGCCTGGGCAACAGAGTGAGACTCCAACTCAAAAAAAAAAAAAAGTTTAGCCAGGCATGGTGGCTCACACTTGAAATACCAGCACATTGGGAGGCCAAGGTGGGAGGATTGCCTGAGCCCACGGGTTTGAGAACAGCCTGGGCAGCTTGGTGAGACCTCATCTCTACAATAAATCAAAAACTTAGCCAGGTGTGCTGGCGCGTGCCTGTAGTTCCAGTTACTTGGAAGGCTGAGGCAGAAAGATCACCTGAGTCCAGCAGGTCAAGGTTGTGGTGGCCGGGAGCATGTCACTGCTCTCTAGCCTGGGTGACAGAGTGAGACTCCCACTCAAAAACAAAACAAAACAAAACAACAACAAACAAAAAACAGAAAGAGTTTAGGCCAAGCGCATGGCTCACACCTACAATCCAAAACTTTGGAGGAGATTTGCTTGAGACCAGGAGTACACACACACACACACACACACACACACACACAAAACCCTCTTTTGAAGGGCAGGTCTCTTGTAGTACACTCAGAATTTGTTTCTCTGGAAGTTCTGAAAAGGTTGTGTCACAATTTGCAGAAGAAACATCTCAAGTTGCAGCAAAAAGGTGACTGGTTCTTTCACCATGACAGTGCACCTACCCACACCACACTGCATGTTCAGCAGTTTTTGACCAAAAACACCATGACTCCCATGTGCAACTCCCCCATTCACCTGATCTCGCACTGAGTGACTTTTGTGTTTACCAGATGAAAGAAGTCCTCAAAGGGAAATGTTTTGCTGATGTGGAAGAGGGGAAGCAAACAATAGCACAGGCACTAAAAGGCATCAACCTTGACGAGTTCAAAAACCATTTTGAGCATTGGGAAAAGTGTCTCAATAGGTGTAGTGCATCAAATGGAGAGTACTTTGAATATGACTGGTTTAAACATCCAAGAATACACAATTTTTAATAAATTCCCCCAAAATATAACTAACTAAATAAATAAACTCCGGTTTTTTGGATATATACATTTGAGGAGTCTCCTGGGGCTCCTGGTTGGGAGGGCAGGGTCAGACACCAGCCATCTCAGTCTCAGGGGCTTGAACCCACATCATCTGCTATGAAGTCCCTAAGAGCTAAACCACTGGGAGAAATGAAGCCAGCATTAGAGAAGGAAGAGTTCTAGAAATGTAGAGAAGGGAGTAAGAGAGGAGAAAAATCATGTTTTACTCAGTACAGAATTACCATCTTGGCCAGGCATGGTGGCTCAAGCCTGTAATCCCAGCACTTTGGGAAGATGAGGCTAGAGGATTGCATGAGCTCAGGGCTTCGAGACCAGACTGGGCAACTTGGTGAGACCTTGTCTCTACAATAAATCAAAAAAATAAGCTGGGTGTGGTAGTGTGCACCTGTAGTTCCAGCTACTTGAAAGGCTGAGGTAGAAGGATCACCTGAGCCCAGCAGGTTGAGGC